TATAAAAAATTTCATATGATTTTTTTTAGAGAAAAATATAAAAACATATGAAATTTTTTAAAATTTTTTTAAAAAAAACTGACCCGGAGATTTTATAATAAATTACATATGAAATTTTTTTTCAAAGTTCTATAAATTTTGACCCGGCCGGGTTATGTAAACCAAGAAATTAACTTTGTGTGGCCTAATTTGTAATATTTATTTTAAAAAAATTTTTATCAATTTTGATAAAGTTTTTAAGTTATTGTTGGCTAAAGTTTCAAAAAAATTTCTTAGAAAAAATTTTGCTTGATTTCTATTGACTCAACCAATGTTCTCAAAAATACAGCTCAGATCTACTACCTGCTACTAGGTGACATAGAACGATCATCTGGTATATACTTGTACAGTACTCAAAAAATCTTGTCTGGAGGAACCACCTAACATTTTCTTAATTGTTAATCGTCCAACTGTCTAATTCAACAGGCATTAATGCTATCTTTGATAATTTTTTGGCAATGTTCATAAATCGGTCCCATAAATGGAAACAGTGTGACTAATTTAAAGAGAAATTATCTCCTCAAAGTATTATTCGGCATATATTTAACATACCAAATACTGAGTCCTTGTCAAGTTATTGAATACCGCGACCGTTCCAGACATAGTGCTGTAGTGAGGAGACAATCGAAATCTTGAGTACTTATATTTCACTCGCCGAATTTAAAAGTTTCCTTTCAATAGATTGTCTGGATTTGTTAATCGTAATTGTTCACAATAGAAAATCATTGGAGATCATCATAATGGACTTCTAATAAAGAAATACGAACTAGAAATAAACAAAGTCCATACTAGAATGTTCTATAAATAAACGACCATCCCAAAAACCTTAATTTTATTCAGCTCAGCATATGGGGGGTGTCAGTAGAGGCAAGCAAATTGTTTCAAAGTAAATTTTTTAAAACTTTAGATTAAACTATCTTAACAACTATTAAACCAAACTTGATAAAAAAAAAATTTATTTTAATTCTATATAGTTATAGAATCAAAATAAAAAAAAATTATCAAGTTTAGTTTAATAATTCTTAAAGTTTTTTAATTGAAAAATTTAAAAAAACTCACTAAAAACAATTTGCTTGGTTTCTAATGACACCCCCCATATACTTCTCATTGAAAAATATCTGATATCTGATATTGTGAATTACGCAAGTTGAAAGTAATTTCTAACTCAAAGTTCTATATTTAACTGAAATTTAATCTATTATACGTAATCCCAAAAACAAATATCAAATAAGCATAATAATATATCTCGTTGCCAAAATTATTTTTTTTAAATACGTAGAAAATCTTGATTAATTTTAGGCTGAGTTTTAAAATCCTCATAAAGATAAATGATTGTCATTCGTATAATTACAATCAAGTATTATCGTTATTGTAATACGAAAAATTGACCTAGCACTTGGAGATATTAACGTATTTATTGGTTTTTGTAAGAAATGCTTTGGTTGGATGATCAAAACATAAACAATTTCGATCAAAGTTAACACAGCCATCAGTATTAATCATAATAAGTAGGTACTTACGTGATAAATTGTTATGTTGCCAAGAAACCGTATTTTTTTAGGATAGTATGTTTATTTTTTTGAAAGTAATGAAGTATTAAAACAGGTATATTAATCCTGTTTAGGCGATTATTTCCTTTTAGGACGTCGTCAAAACCTGAAATGTTTTGTGTATATGTACGCCAACTCCGTATAGTATTCAGGTCTTATTCCTAACTTGTATGAGAAACTTTACTGTGGTTCTGTTAATTTGTTCTTTGAAAAAAAGTTAATGATAATGCCTTTTAAGAATTTTAATAAGAAGGTAACTTTATATTCTTGTATATAATTATCACACGTTTATTATTATTATTATTATTTTGTGTATTAGTATTATCTTTTAATAGTGATTTCATTAAATTTATGAAATTCATTATGGATTTTATTATTACTAATTTATAGTGTATTTGAATTTAACTAATTGTCTCGCAACATAATTATATTGTACAGTGGAAAGCGATCAAATCAACGAGACTTACAGGAATATTCGCGTTGCTGGCCATTATACAGTTCCTAGTATTAGGAAGCCTACAATCAAAAATTTTGGCCCGGAATATATCTTTTACAAAGGATGTAGTTCCTCTCACGCAAATAAACAACCCAAATTCAACTTGTTATATTAATAATGAATTGGTTCCAATAAGTTTGATATTTTCTGAAAATGCCATTTTCATGATTTTCCACGTATTTCAAGTGTATTTTATCATCGACTCGGTTAGTATTTTTATATTGTATATTATATGCTTACATGCGCTTAATTAATTTGATTAATTTATAGATTATATATCGAAACGCGATATGTCTTATAGCAGCGACTGTTTTAGATTTGACTTTTGGAATATTCGGAATTGTATGTTTATACTGTATATTATGATAAAATTAATATTATTTAAACATCTTTCATATTTTGATTTTTTTTTTTTTTTTTTATTTAGTTCCAACTTAATGAAGCTAGAACATCGATCGAAAAAATACAACAATCATGCAATGGACTTAATCTCAATCCATCCTTTACAGGAAATGAAATTCCGCATTTTGTTATGATTTTTGTTTTTGCTATTCTCATGATGATTTTGACATATTTATTTTATGCGAAATTCGGGTGGACAAGATATAAAGATCTTGGTAGTGACAATACTAAGAAATGTAAGCGTACTATCATTTTATATCATTTTATTTACTTATTTTAAACTTACTCATTACAAAATATTTGCGCAGCTGCATATAAAACGAGACTTATCTTTATTGCCCTATTAAAAGTTAATGCGCTACTCATATTTTCTTATTGCTTTTTGTCACTCGGAGCAATTCTGCCACTTATTAAAGATTCTGATTCGGCTACCAAAACAATATTTTTTGTCCATTTCTTAATATTAATATTATCATTTATATTTGAGGCAATAGCCTTTTACGGGGTAAAGTAGTTTCTTTCGTTTATCTTATTATTTTATTTGTTTATTTTTTTTATTATTTACTATTATAATTATTTCTATAAAATAGATATCTGAAGAATCAAAAATTGCAATGTTGTCTTTTTTGATGTTTTGGATTTTATTAGTCTTAGATATCATTTATTTACTTATAGACAATGCAAGTTCTGCTGTTGCTCTGGGTTGGACTTTTTGGCTATGGTTTAGTAAGTTTTCCTTACAATATAATTTAAAAAAAATAATATTTTTATTTTTATTTTATTATTATTACATCCTTTAACTTATTTTATTATAATATTTTTTTAGGCATAATTCTTCTTATATTGTCTTTGGTAAGTTTATTCTCTTTTAATTATATTATTCTTTATTGAACTATTTTATTTATAAATCTTTGATATTACATTACAGGTAACATTTGTATTTGCAATGCTAGCATTACATAATTTTGATAAAGGGCTTAAAACTTTTGGTATTAATTTTTTTAATTGCTTTCTGTTTATTAATTAATTATATTTTTCCTAAATGCTAAACACAATCTTTTTTTTTTTTTAAAAAAAAAAAGTTAACCACTTATCAATACAAGATTATGAAGAATCTCTATTTTTACAGAAAGCAAAAATTATGGATGCTGAAAATCATCGAGATATGCAGCCATGGCGTTCCGAAGAATGATTTAAAAATCATTTAATTAACTTAATTAAATGAATAAATTTAAATGAACTTTTTTTTTAATTTTAGCAATATCAAATAAGGGGTTTTTTTCAATAATTTTTCTGTATTATAATCTCGGTTTAAGTTTGAATATATATATATATATATTATTATTTTTTTTTTTTTTGACCAAGTCAAAATTAAATGAATTAATTAAGGTCACTAAATTTAATTAATTTGAAAGAAATATTTTAGAATCCAAAGATAAAAATTGGGTACATCCAGCCAATGAAAGTTTGGGATCCATCTAGCAAAAATAGCAGGATTAGCTAAAAAAGTGATTTATGTAGAAAATCAGTAATGTACAGTAGAGGCCAAAAGTAACGCCCGAATTTTTAGTAAATCAGAAAATTTTTATTTATTTAATTTCTGTTCTATAAATTAAATTTTTTTATATTTATTTAATACTTTTGAAGAATGACTTCTACATCCGTTTCTGCTTCGATCTTTCGTAGTATTGATTCTACAAATGCCTGAAGTACTGATACATCCAAATTGCCTATGTTTTCTTTAAGGGTGTCTTAAGCTTATCCTTGTTTCTTGAAAAATTTTCTGTTTTAAATATCATATTTTAAGACCTTCCAAATGTTCTCTTATAATAGTCAATTCAGAAACATTATTTTTTTGCTTCAAACCAATTCTTTACTCTATAAATAGAGGCATTGTTATGCTAAAATATTATACAGTATTTGACCTTACTAATAAATACATAGTAGTAATAAATAGCATAAAATTGTTTTTAAGAATTTTAGTATAAATTTTTTTTTAATTTTTTTTTTGAGACTTTTGTAATTGTTGAAAAAATTAAAGAATCTTTTATTTCACTAATATAACAATATTACGTTATTACTAAAATTCTTCTACTCTTAAAATTCTATACTAAATATTTATGTTTATATCTTTTATTTATTTTTTTTTGTTGTTAAAGGTGGCTTACATTGCTGAAAGAATTTTATTAGAGTTGCAAACAGGATTATACATTGATAATTCATACTGTTTGTAATTATATGAAGAGTATACAACAAGCCACATATACAACTTTAGTCATTGTCTATTTTAAGTAGTCTGCTGTATAGGTATTAGGTTGTAATCTGCCTGTGAGTTACCTATTTAAACACTCTGTTCATTAACCTATACAGACCTAACTTAATATTATCGCAATACCTAACTGCTTAAGCTAGCAAGATTATTACAGATCTATTTATTCAGAATAGCTTAGATCTTTTTAGAATATATTATATTAGATGTATTACTAGTATTGCAGAGCTAGTTAACCTCAAATCAATCCTACTAGAGCAGTCTGTACCTATTTTACAAATTTATCTAGCTTAGATTCTTGTAGATGTTCATACAACTCTAGGTTCTACTGTAGTCTTTAACTAGTTAGTTAATCTAGTTTTTTTTCAATATCTAGCTAGTCTTAGTTACCTTTACTCAGAGACTTTGAAACTTTCTATCTTTATTAGACCAAGTTTTCTTTTCAAATCAGACTTTAGCTGATGTAATTCTGTTAGAAGGTTGTACTACTTTACCGACTCAGAGTTTATACTATATAGATCTCCTACTTATATATTTTATTAAGATTTATTCATATAATATTATATTATATTTTCAAGTTCTAATCAATTTAGTACAACTTAATTTACAGAAGTATACCTTCAGAAATGAATAGGGTTTATTGTAATATATTACAAAGTCTAAAAAATTATTTAAATTCATCAACAGTAGGATTTGAACTCTAGACCTATTGCATAGCAGTCTAATAATCTAATTACTATACTAAATTACTGAATCTTTATTTCTATCTTATATCTATATAATAGTATACTATAATTTGTTATAATTGTTTTTCTATTTCTATATCTATTTTATTAGAAAAAATAATACTTTACTACTTGTAAATAAATTTTTTAATAACTATCTTCATAAGTTTATTTTTATTTTTTATTTTTTACTTTATACAAATACTATCAGTTAAAACTTTATTAGTATTAATAGTAAGTAAATAATTCATATTATAAGAGTACAACTAGCTATATATATAATTTTAAATTGTCTAATTTAAGTAGTTTGCTGAAGGTTCTATATTAGCTGCTATACCTGAAATCTATTTGAAGATTACCTATTTAAACTCTTTAGCCTTATAATACTTACTCATATTCTATCTTTATTTTACTAAAGTTTGTTTAACTCTGTGCTACTTCTCTTAGAAGATACCTGAGCTAACATTAGTTTACAAACTTTATAATTCAGAGCCTAGGCCCTATCACAAGGTACTTTTTTACTAACTCTTTAATCAATAGAATACTATAGTATTAAACTATACTATATTATATCCCAATTTAGCTACATATACTCTTATTTGTTATTCATACAAATCTAGTTTCTACTATAGCTTTCTACTAGATTAGTTGTTTATATCTTCAGATATCATATAAGATTAGATCCTCACAAATTTTTTTTTTTTACCTCCCTCTACTATTTTGAAAGTCCTTAGATACCTTAGGATCTGTCACATCTTTTAAAGCTAGAGTTATTATTCTGCGGAGATCAATGGAAGGCTGCAGGCCTCTGTATATCACTGAACTTATAAGATAGCTTATGTTTTATTAAGTCTATTATATGATGTCCTAGTTTTCTAGTCTTGTGGTATAGGACCTATGTTCTCTAGGTCCATAGTTCTCTAATTTCACATGATCCACTAACTGAATTGTTCTTTTTATTTTAGTCTTTATGCTGGGTTTCCTCAATATTAATATTATTTGTTGATAGATTACACCTTATCTAATCATCTCTAATGCTGTAGTTATGCCAGTAGACAGCTTTTGTATGTATAGATCTTGTTCTTCTCTAAATGGAAAAGTCCTCCAAAGATCTTTTTTTTTCAATTGTAGTTCTGACAAAGTTTTATCACCTAGTTGGATTCGAACTCATGACTTTATAATTGTGACCTAGGAATACTAACTACTGCACTATTAACCCATAGGTCTATCTTCACAAATTTGGTTACTACTTAGGTTAGTATTGTTATTAATTATTTGTATATCTAGATATTATATATGACAAATCTTCTCAAATATAGTTAGCTACTAAGCCAAGTTGATATTGCTATATAACTCATATAATAGACTTACTTGTACCTATTTTACTAATTTTTTCATATGCAGATTTTTTTAATAAACTTACTACAAGTCTATTCACTGATTTTTTTATATACAAATTTTCTTTCCTAAATCAAATATTAACTAGTATAACTATTAAAATCTGTATTACTTTATCTAACTTGAAATTTCTACTATACAGATCCTCTGCTTATAGATCCTATTAAGATTTATTTGTATAATATTATGCTCTTCTAAATGCCCTATTACACTTCTAATACCTGATTAGCATTAGTATAAAATAATTTATAGGGTTTTAACTCTAAAAATAAGTAGAGTTTACTATAAGTTGAATACAAATATCTAAGTAATTATTTAGTTCTGTTAACAGTAAAATTTAAACTCTAGATCTCTTATATAGTAGTCTGACAACTTAACTATTATACTAAGATTATCAGACCTATAAATTTATTTTTTATATTTTTTATTATTTAGCAATTATACATAACTTTATTGTAAAAAATAAGGAAGTCTTTATATATATGATTTCTATTATTAGTCTAAGCTATTTTTTTACAAGTTTGTAACTCATCTAGTTACCAAGTAGCATCTATTTGTAATCTGCTATATCTAACTATTCTCTTCATAAAAGAGTACAGTCAGACTTCCCTAAGTACACCCTCTTAGGACCATAAGAAAAAAAATAATAAGTGTGCACTTAGAGAGAGTGTGTATTTATGGAGAGCAAAATCTATATTACTCTTAAAAGTTAGAACCAGAGTATGCCATGCACTTATAGAGAATTTACATTGTCCGTGCACTTAAGAAAGTATACTTAGGGAGGTCTAACTGTATAAGTTTTAAATCCAATTTTTAATTACTTTAGTGAAGTATATTAAGAGTATATCATAACTACTTATCATGACTAATTTTGCTTAAGAAATACTCAAAAACAAAAAAAGAAGAGAAAAATAAATATAAAGAAAAATGAAAAAAGAGAGAGGCTTAAATAGAAAAAACTTATTAGCAAAGCTAAATAAATTTTTTCTAAATGCTACTCTACATATAAAAATTATAGAAAATACTAATACTATATTCTATATCTCTAATTAATTTGCTCTTAGCACTATTAATCTAAATTAGTTATGATCAGTAATTAGCTTTGTCATATATATTAGCTCTTTTGTAAACAAAACAGATTACTTGTTTTGTTTATATAATCTTTTTCCAAAATAGATAAGTTGTATGAATATTAATCTTTTTACAGGAAGTAGTTAAATCTTTACTTTTTACAAAATAAATTTTGCAAAAAGATTATAACATAGATGCAGTAAGCTATTCAAAGTTTTCAAGTTATAAAAAGAACCAAAAGTTGATAGATGCAAAAACTCTAATCAGAGTATAAGAATAGTATTATTATTTAATCTAGTTTAAGCAGTTTTGATAAGGTTTATATTCATACCAAGCACTACGGCTACAGAAGAGCTAGAAAACTTATGGTGTATACCATTCGGAGAGAACTGCTTAGTAAGAGTCTCTACTGGAACAAGAAATAGCAATAAACTCAAAGAACGTAACAAGTATACTAGAAGATTACTTGATCTACCAGAAGACATAAACGAGATACTCTTAATGAGACAAGTCAAACAAACTGGTGCTAAAGCTCTGCATATATTCAAAAATACTAATGACAATAAAAAAGAAGTGTGACAGTATACTTTGAAAACAAAGAAGATATGATAAATTGCTCAAGATTTGCAGTTTATTATTATAATAACAGACTCATATGGGTAGCAAGCAGAAATAATTTTAACAAAGACAAAAGGCATCAAGAAGATCAAACAGCTCTTGCAAATAACAGTGAAACAAGAAGTATAAAGAGCCTTGGAAAAAGAAAGGAAATAGAACAAGATCAGAGAGGAGAATACTTTAAATACGTTCAAAAAAGATACCGAAATGGTAAAAATAAGTATGCAACATACGATAATGATAAAATAGATGAAGAAAGTAAGTGGGATTCAGCAATGAATCATAAGGAAAAAAGAAGACTATACTCAAAAAATAAAGAGGTTAATTCATACAAAAGAAGAGAAAGAGTAAGTATAAGAGAAATGCTTGAAAATCTAATTGTAATTGCAGAAAAAGAAGACTATAAATACAGAGAAGAGGAGAGCATCTGGAAGTACAAGACTCCAAATCG